ATGTATATAGTTGGACCATGTATGGTCAACGGTAGTGTCTATAATGTAAATTCCTTGATATTGAATGTTCATTTACAGTTTTTTGTAGTGGTCCCAGTAATATTTTTTCCTAAGGTGTACTGAAGGAGCACATAACATAAAATAGTTAATAAATGTTACAAATTCAGTTACAAGAACGATATGGTAAATGGTAAATGGACTCTTTTACACTACATGCCACATTCACCCTTTCACACACATTAACTCAGTGATGGTAAACGGCAGAAACTAACTCATTCATACACATTCACACACCGATGCATAGCATCAGGAGCAATTCGGGGTTCAGTATCTTGCTCAGGGATACTTCGACATGTGGCGGGAGGAGCCGGGGATCAAACCAACAACCTTCCGACTAGCTCTGAGCCACAGTCGACAATGCTTTCCACTCGTATCTTAAAATGTTTGATTTGAAAGAGAACAATCTAATTATAATTAGTCTAATTATCTATTAACTCCCTCTGCTGCTCTTTTATTTGTTTTTATCAGCGGGATGTTTCTGTTTTTCTATGACTCACCCTGTATTGAGTGTTTCGTCAGACTGATTAGTATTTGCAGTGCTTTAACTGTGTGCTCTCCCTCATGCCTCTGGGTGCATGGAGAGCTGTTTTCCTCTTCTACTCTATTCTCTGCTGGACTGTTACAGTGCGTAACCATAGTCTCACCTTCTGACAGCAGTTTCATTCCCTCGTGGTGAATATCAGGAACTTTACTGTCTGTGCCATATGTGCACAAATGATGTACTGGGATGCACTATTGCACTGTGACACATTGGTGAGATATAGATTAGTTATTTATCTTTCATGAAGTGGGTGTGTTTGAGCTTGATGGTAGCGATATGTCTATTATAGCGATAGCCTCAGTAGGAAAAGGTGCAACAGGACGTATAGTAACTCCAGGTTCTATGAGTATTGGCACATCCATCTAAGCTGTAGGATCCACTGGTTCCTTTAGGTCTATTCGCAGAATTTGAATATAATATTAGTCTCTCGTTGTTTGGGGATTGTGGCAACCTTAATTGACTTCGCGGCCGTTTTAAAAAAAAATGCAATTTACGT